TGGGCTTCAGCAGGGAGAGAACTTGGGGCCTCGCAGCTCCAAGCAAGGGTGGTTTAGCATCCTCCATGCTCTCCTTGATCTTCAACTTTTGCAGGGAAGGAATGGCCTTGTAGTTAGTTATTTTTCTGCACACGACACAAGCAGCTAGACATTTTTGTACTGAATAAGCATTCCTGATTCCTAAGCAGGTCTGACTGGGTGTGGGGAGGTGTGGATTGGGTGTGGGGTACCCTGACACATTCCGAGAAATAGATGGAGGCATCTCAGATGGTTCTCATATGTAGCGACTTCAGTGATTGAGGACTTTTTAGGATTGAAGGCCAAAGCCACCACCCCAAAACACAGCCTTGTCTGATTAGGAGCAGGGAGCTAAGTACTTTGCACAAATTACCCTATTAGACACCACATTAGAGAGAAATATGTTCAGCTGAAACCCAAGGCAACACATTTTGTCCAAAACAAATTTTTTAAAATCTTCATTTTATACGCTTGGAAGAATAAAAAAGAAAGAAAGAAAAAAACCTCTTTTCCAGATATAACTTAATTATACAACTTTCTTTGTGTACAGCTTGAGTCTGTACCTTTACTAAGATGTTTCCACCAGTCTCTGCCTCTCCAATGCACGTCCCTGTTTGCTCTTGGTGCTGCTGGCTTCAGGGACTGTGACTCAGGCCCCCGTTCTCTCTCCACCTGGCTTTTTTACACCGACCCTTCTCCTGGGTGATCTGCTTCTCCCCAAGTAGCTTCCTCTCCAATCTCGTGTCTCTTCCCCTCATCAAGTTCCACCCCTCCTCCCAGAACACTGTCCCCCATCCTGGGCTCTGAGAGCCGGCACAGACCCTCCTCTGGAGGGGAGATTAGATATTGTGCTTTATGCTGTAAAATAGGCACCTTCCAAAAGGTATACAAAAAGTCAATCATAATAGAAAACAAATTCTGAATATCTCTATTTCTACATGTAGAACACAAATATCTGAACACATATAAAAGAATACTATGCAAAGTGCTAAGAACCAAACATAAATAGGATGCTATTGGTTGTCCTCAAAAATTTAAAAAAAAAAGCAGTCTAGTAGCAGGAGCATATATAGCACGGTGAAAATGAGAACGATGCAACCCAAAGAATGGACCTCACAGCTCCCAATGCAACAGCAGAATTGAGCAGGTGCGTGCTGTGCTCTGAAATACATCCACCATGCCTCCCACTGCCTCCTGGCCAATGACCGCGTGAAGAAGGGATACAGAGGCAGGCTTGTTCCTGGGAGATACCAGATACCTCTTGGACAGACTTGGGCTTCCGCCCAACATTTCTCCTCTCCCTCCTTCACTGGAGTCAGCCACGCATCAGTCTGACAGCTCTCTCAGCCTGACCTGGCCCCCTCCTGTTTTCTCCCAGAGGCATTTTCCCTAATAGAATCTTCGCACATCAATCCCTTCCTGGAGTCTGCTTCTCAGAGGACCCAGACTAACAGAGGGGCCAAGTCCAGGGAAGTGGCTCAGGCAGGGAAACAGCCTGCAGGAATGCCCAGAGCTGAACAAGGAGAGGTTATACAAAGAAAAGTGTTGGGGCGAGTCTGAAAGTAGCCAGGGCCTGGATCCTGCAGGGCCTTGGACAGTCTCCCTAAGGAGATGGGAATTTATGGCAACAGCAAAGGGCAGCCATCACAGAGTTTTAAGCAGATGAATGGTGCTATTCACAACAGCCAAAAGGTGGAAGCAACACATTGTCTATTCACATATGAATCGCTAAACAAAATGTGGTATATATATACAACAGAATATTATTCAGCCTTAAAAAGGAAGGAAATTCTGACACATGTTAAAACATGAATGAAGCTTGATGACATTATACCAAGTGAAATAAACCAGACACAAAGAGACAAATACTGTATGATTCCATGTCTATGAGGTACCTAGAGTAGTCAAATTCATAGACATAGAAAGTAGATTGGTCATTGTCAGGGGCTGGAGGAATGAAGAGTTATTTTTTGAGTATAGAGTTTCAGTTTTGCAAGATGAAAAGAGTGCTGGAGATTGGTTGCACAAAAATATGAATGCTCTTAGCATGACGGAACTGTATACTTAAGAATGGTTAAGAAGGTAAATTTTATGTTATGTATATTTTACCACAGTTAAAAAACAATAACAACATAGTGACAACAAAAAGGCACTGCAACTGTACTGCAGCACAACACAGAGATTGTACTGGGGATGGAAAGACCAGAGGCCAGAGACCAATCAGAAGCTGCTGAGGTAATGGAGACAAGAGAGAATGATTGCCCTGGGCACGTGGCTGTTGATAGATGCTGCCATTTGCAAGATACAGAGAACAGGAGGAACGGGGGAGGGGATGATGGTGGGTTCCATAGCATTATATTACATATATATTTTAATAAACAATAATATAATTTTACATGCTCTGTTATTTTTACTATCAAATATTATGGGATGCTGAGATACAGAGTGAGAATTATGTCCAAGGAGTTGGTCATAGACCATGAAAATATAGAGATATGGATTAGGAAAAATGGAAGTCATCCAAGAAGTAGCTATGGATGCTTAAAATCAAAATAGGTATAAAATATACTTTAAAAATAAACATCAAGAATTACAAAATGACAGTGTTGGGGACTTGTCTCTCACTCCTCATTTTGTAGGATCTCACTGGTTTTAAAGCATTCTTTGTCGTCTCACTCAGAATATCAGTTCAGAAAACTTTCTTATCAGTAAATAGACAATCTTTACAACAAAAGCTGCTCATGTATAAGGACATCTTGTCTATTCCTAATAACGTGTGTTGGTAATAAAGACACTCAGCATTTATATGATGATGAAGTTACATTCTAGTTCCTATTCATTTTCCATTTCTGATAGCCCTATTTTATTAATTGCAATGATTTTCAACTCTGCTACCGACAACAAGTCGACTGTTACTCTGATTACAACTGGATGTTTCAAAGTCTCATCTTGATTACCAATGAATGAATTGCATGCTGCAGTTGGAAATACCTGGCATATTTACAAGAAAGGAATAGAAATATGTCTGTCTGATGGTAAAAAATAGAATGGTAGGATTTATGTATAAAAACCAATAGTTATCCTATTTTACTATTCCTAAGCTATACACAATCTTCAGTAGTTTCCTGTCAAGATAAGAATTTTTTATGGTAGAGCCTGAAAAATATTTGCATATGACATTTAACTATAAAGTACTGGGACTGTTTTAAAGAAATGTAAAGGCCTTGGTACAAAAAGAGCGCTTTCCAAGTTGTTATCTTGAAAGGCCATAAAATTACTCCTCTGATGCCACAGTTTAAACATTTTTGAATTATTGGCTTTTTTAAAAGCCAATAACTTGGCTAACACACATTGCCCTGGATACAAATGCATCACAGGTGAGCACCTGTTCTTTTTATGGCATTTCTGGAATGGACACCACCTATAATGTGTGGCTGGGTTGAAGCCAGGGTATGAGGTAGGTACCAGTATCCCCATTGTACAGATGAGGAAACTGAGGCCAGACAGGTTGGCTAAGTCATACAGCTAGTATGTGGCAGAGAGAGGATTACAACCTAGAGAGTAGGATCCAGAATCTATACTCTCAACTACGATGCCACACTCAGATGGTTACTAAACAGCAGCAAGAAAAAGTCTTGCCTTTCCATAGGCAATAGTTCACTTATCTCTTAGCACAGTCGAGTGTAGTCTTTACCAAACTCTCTAATGTAAAATGTGGGGTATTTAAAAATACACAGGCCAGGCACGGTGGCTCATGCCTGTAATCTAGCTCTCTGGGAGGCCGAGGCGGGCGGATTGTTCAAGGTCAGGAGTTCAAAACCAGCCTGAGCAAGAGGGAGACCCTGTCTCTACTATAAATAGAAATTAATTGGCCAACTAATATACATAGAAAAAATTAGCCAGGCATGGTGGTGCATGCCTGTAGTCCCAGCTACTCGGGAGGCTGAGGCAGGAGGATTGCTTGAGCCCAGGAGTTTGAGGTTGCTGTGAGCTAGGCTGATGCCACGACACTCACTCTAGCCTGGGCAACAAAGCGAGACTCTGTCTCAAAATAAATAAATAAATAAAAATACACAGAGCCTGAAAAATCACTTACTTCTATGATGGTTCTAAGCAAAGAAAATGCTTTATGGATTTAAACAAGACAAATTTATGAACTTTTCTTTCTTGTGAAAACCAGCTGTCAGTCTGGAGCTGTCAGTCTCCATTTACAATATTTTTTCTCTACAGTGAAAAACATGGGAGTGGAGCTGTGTGAAGGCTTTTCTCCTCTCCCTTAGGAAAAAGGAATTAAGTCAAAGGTGAAATATATCCCTGGCATTAGCTGAGAAAGAAAATGAGAGAAACCTGAGAAGAGCCTGGTGGGACTCGGGTTCCACAATTCTCATATATGACTGTGAAATTAAAATTAGGTACAGGGCTAGATTTCCCTGGTCATACACAGGTCACGTAGTGAGAGCTCCTAAGAGTTCACATACTTTTCTTTCCACTCCTTTGGAAATTCCACCTTCTGACGCACCTGAAAAATATGACCACTGACTAAACACACTCACATATTAAATAATGAGAAAGAGTTAAGAGTTGACTCAGAAGAAGGACAGGAAACATGGTAAATGTGGGTAAGGACATTACGAAGATTGCAAATGAAACCAAATCTCTAAAGCTTGATGATTTTGCTTAACTACTGTAACTCAGGAGAGAAAAGCAAGACACTGACATGTGAATTCTTTGAGTTTTTCTTTTCTTTTTTTTCCTCCACTCAGAATTCCATGTAGATGTAATAGCCTCAAGTAGCTAGTAGGAAAAAAGTGTTAACAACAATTGAAAAAGTAAACTGACTAACATTTAAATGGGCAAGACATAAATTTATAAAAAGAATATTTATAATGTAACATTTATTAAGCTTACTTGAAAGACAGGATTATTTAATTTCGATTACCCCATCTCAATGCATGAAAAGAATGGTCCACAGTAAGACAAAATAGTATTTCTAAGAATGTTATTTTATTATCTCTAGTTCTGTATGTTTTTCAGCCTTCAAAACCTGTCTTTACTGCCACAACCAACACAGAGTTGTTCAAAATAAAGTTCTGACCCAAACTGGACTATGGAGATGCAGACCACAGTGAGAAAAGCTCAAAACAAGCAAACCAAGAGCCAGAAAAAGTGTTTTTCTTGATATTTATGTACCATATTTACAAAAGGAAAGTTAAACCAATTGTTCATTATGTACATGCCTTAGTGAATATTAGTATTTTACATACATATGCATATGTAATCAAGTAAAAAAGGTAAATTTAAAATAACTTTTATCTGTGAAAAAATACATAAAATGTGACTGCCATATCCTTCAGTTTGAGTGATTGTTCAATATTCAGTGCTTAAAAATATTTGGAAAAATAATCCCAAAATATAATCTGCTGAAATATATTTAAAGTGAAAGAGGTAAGAAAATAGGAAGTGTTCAATATGATTTAATAAGTAGGGGAGGTGAGCATTTGGGGGGAATCACATAGCAGCCATAAACTATGTGAAGAATCAGAAAGAAAGGATGTAAAGGTTTTTCCAAGGTCAATTTCACTCAAATTTGAACTGAACCAAGGAACTTTCAGGACAAAGTAAACGAACTGAAGTTTTGATAATGAGTTCATGCTATTCTGTGGATGCAAAAGTGCTTTCCTCCCTGAGTCCTTAAGGAGGCACGCCTTGGACATGTACCCGTCAGTTCCTCATTTGGCTCCTGTGGAGAGGGTGAGTTCAATGTGTCTATCATGACTTCACACCACTTTAGTAGCAATCTGTCTTTACTGAAGAACCATTGGAAGGTTATCAGCTATCTTTCCAAGCACCAGCTGGGTTGCAATTCTTGAATCTCGTGTTTCCTCTTTCCGTTCTAAAGACTGAGTTCCCTAAGGAGTCGGGGCGACTCCCCCAGTGCAGAGGGCTGGCTCTGGTGGGCTTTTCCAGCGCGCTTCCCTGGCGGTCCCAGTAGGGGCTGGGGCAGAAGCTGCTAGGTGAGCTCCGGGCTAGTTGAGGCAGGGGCAGCAGCAGCAGCACAGGGTCCGGCAGGGGTTCTTCTTCTTGTACTGCACGGCCTTGCGCACCTGCGCCTTGGCCTGGCCGGTGTAGTCGACCGTCTGCTGCACGTTGAGCTCGATGACGTTCAGGGTGTCGGCCTGCATCTCCACCAGCACGGCCATCTGCAGGAAGAGGTCGTGCACGTCGCGGATGCGGCTCTCCAGGCGCAGCAGCTCGCGGTGGCGGCTCTCGATCTCGTTGAGCGCCGCCCGCGCGCCCTTCACGTCGGCCAGCAGGTTCTCGGAGAACACGTCCCACTTGCCCTGCTCGAACATGTCCTCGATCTGGTCGCCCGACACGTCCTTGCCCATGATCTCCAGCTGGCGCTGCATGCGGATCTTGCAGTTGTCGCGCTGCTTCGTCTCGGCCAGGTTGTACTCGTGCATGGCGCGCTGGAAGGTGAGCGTGAGCGCGCTGTACTGCGCGCGCGCGATGCGCGCCACCGCCGAGTGCGGCCCGTGCTGCGCCTCGGCCGCCTCGCTCAGCTCGTGCATGGCGCGCAGCTTGCGGTGGATGCCCTCGCCCCGCGCCTTGATGGCCCTGGCGATGGAGTTGGTGTCGCGCTTGATGCTGCTGAGGCGCCGCATGGACGTGAGGAAGCGCGTGTTCTGCTTTCCCAGCCGCTTCACGTCCACCATCAGCAGCTGGTTTTCATCCTGAATGTCCTGGATGTCCCGGTACAAGGACTCCAGGATGTGGTCCGTCTCGAACACGATGTCCTCGTGGGCCGAGCCCAAGTCGTCGTCCCCGTCTGGGAACTGCTGGTCATAGCGCTTGGACAGCTCCAGAAGCTCTTCTAGCCGGTCCTTCATTTTGCCTGCAAGTAGAGAGAGCGAAGTCAAATTCCTCTAGCGAGAGTCAAATATTTGCATTCAGGGGATTGAAGCTTAAGATAAAGAAACATTCTCCTCAGCACTTCCAATTCTTTATTCCTGGGTGTAGGTAATAAGTGCACCAAAGGAGCTAAATGTTGTATGGCATTTTACTTACGAGTATAGAGATAACATAACTGAAAGGCACCAACGGCATTGTGTTTTAAGGTCTATAGGCATCTGCCACTAGACATCACAGGTGCCCGGAACGCAATCAGCAATTTTAAATTTTAGATTGCATTGGGAAACCATCTCTTTTTCTTGCTTTACCTTTTCCAGTCATCACAAATCAAAACAGACACAGAAAAGGGAAAAATAAGAAGAAAAGACTTGGAAACATAAGGGTTTTTAAGTAAGGACAATTTACAAGGCTTTGGGGCCAATGCAAATGTTGCCTATTTTATCTGTTTCCACACTGATGAGCACCCCCTCCTGTCCCTATTAGCAACTCTTAAAATAATAGTTACCATGTAAATTGTGGCTTAAAATATTTTCTCTTAATAATGTTGTAAAAGTAAAATATGCTTGAAGTAAAACAATAAAATAAACAAAGACAGAAATCTAATAAGGAAGTATAAAATTTAGAAATTGATATTTTCTTCCTCCTCTCCCCAATATTCCCTAATGGTAGCATCATTAATAACACTGTTTTTTTTTTTTAAAAAAGAAAAAAACGTTTGTACAGAAAATTTCAATTATACACAGCCTGGTAGCAATAATAGAACACACTCCCATTTATCCATCTTGTAGCAGCAATATTTGCCTGCTTTTAATAGCTTTTTGAAACAAGGTGGAAGCTCAAGCAGAATTTCCATGTTTTCACAAAGGTGGTTCTCATCATTTCCCTGCTTTGCAAGGGAAAATAATGTTCTCTGTGTCCATATCTTTCCCAGTGAGGTGAAAAGTTTCATTTTTAGTAGCATGTATATATGCCAAAAACAGGAACATTTTTCCCTTTTACATGAGACTTTGTGGCTAGAAAGATTATCTTTCTTTCTATAAAATTTGCAGAAAAGAGAGGAAAATAGTAGCACTTAATGGCCACACAATCTATCAGGGATCTTGATCTTAAATTAAAAGTTTCTTTCAAGTTGAAGTAATTAATTCTGTAGCACCACTAATGGAACGCTGACAAGTTGGATTTAGTGATAAATGGAAAATGGTGAAATATTAACCATGGCCTCTCTTCTACCGTGATCACTATTTATATAAATTAAACAGAAGTTTTATTCTATGATGGTGATTTTTAATATAACAAGTTTTTCTTCTTAAAATGCCATTTCTGCTATCTGGTGACTAAAATCAATACTAGACTTTCTCAACAATGGGACAGGTCACTCTCCTAGCAATATAACAGAGAGACAGAATGAAGACCCAGTCTGGACCAAAACTGTGCCTTCTCCTGGCCTGAATTTCTTGTTATTCAAATATTTTTTTCACTTTGAACAAACTTTAAAGACAAATCACAAATCGGGGGGGGGGGGAATTGCAATATATGGCAGATAATGGTTAAGTATAACCATTTAAGTATATATTTTAAAACTGCCAAAAATCCATTCACCCACAGACAATGAAAAGGCAATTCATCTAAGAAGAAACATAAATGACAGAGACCATAACTGTATGTTAGGTATGCCTGATACTGTCTGGGCACCTTTCATGTGATATTCTCTTTTAGTCATCATACAGACTCTATGAAGTAGGTACTACCATTATCAGAGTTGGAATGAGTCTAGGGAGATTAAGGAATTTAGCCAAGGTCACCAAGTGAACACTCGGGCTCCAGAATAGCACCACTTAACCATTATGTTAAATAACCTTCAGCAAAGCAAAAGTATAAAAGTATAGTCATAAAATACTTTACTACTAAACAAGGAAGTACAAATTAAACTGCTGAGATTTTTTTCCCCTACCAAGTTAGCAGGTATTTTTATAAAATAATAATTTTTTAAATGAGTAAGCATGTTGGGAACTCTCAAAAAAATGCTAGTAGGAGGGTAAATTGATGAGAACTTTTCAAGAGGACAGTTTAGCAACATGTATCAAAAGCTTTTCATGCATGCATTGGTTTAGACCTCTGTGCATTTATTCCAAAGATATATGCAAAGTTGCATGAACTCATAGCTATAAATATTTATTTATAAATATTTTCATCACCACATTATTTTCACAGAAATTCAGAAATAAGTTAAATGCACAATAATAAGGTACTGGCTGCTACATAAGTCACAGAGTTTAGAAGGCTATCCAATGGCATGGAAGCATACGTACTCTCTTAGGTAGAAAAAGTAAGTAAAGAGAAGAAAAGATGCAGTACTACCACAAAGGTTTTGAAACAAAAACTTTAATAATCCACATCAAAATGTTAAGTTTTCTTTCTATTGTGGAATTAAACATGGTTTCAATTACTTCCCTTCTGTATTTTCCAAAATTTTTACAATGTCCATGTAGATTTCATTATTAAATAAAACTATAAATACTATTGGTTTAAAGGATAACACCTTAGCTCCTTCATTAAATTATATGTATTACAATCAGGTTAATACCTTATGTTACCTGGGGAAAGTACGTTAGCCAGCTAGCTTGGAGTTGAGCTGTATCTATCTGTTTAAGTTAGTATCCAGTATGTTCTACTATGCAATAAGTGGATGGGATAGAATGGATACATTTCAATGAACAAGGCAAGAATAGGTGATAGGCGATGCCTTCCTTGCATCTTGGCCAAGTCTTATGAGGCACTTCAATGGAAGGTAATAAGTGGTTAAGAGACAGTGCCACACGCCAGGACACTAGGGATCATTTCTAGGTATCCTACTAATCCTAGACAGGTCCTATGCTCTGTATTGCTCTCCTAAAGTGATGAAAAGCTATTTGGGCAAATCATCTCATTTACCATATGACAAGCAAAGTGCAATTCAACCATATAGAAAATGGTCTTGGAAGATGTTCAGAGAAATCATTCTTCTCGAGACCTAACAACCATAAAGTCATAGGTACTCAATCAGGCAAAGAAAGACCTAAGCTCATCTGAAGGCCCAAGTCCATAATGTGGTAACGAAATGGGAAGGAAGGCTCCAGGGCATGTGGAGACTCCCTATAGAGATGTGGACCCAAAGGAGGTCTTTACCTTGCCTTCCTGCCCACCTTTCCTGGCTCAGCCCAGTCCCAGATGACTTGCTCACACTGACACAGAAGGTCTCTTTTCTGCCCAGGAGCAAGCATTAGGAAAACTACAACAGGAAGTCAATGAAGAGGGTGCAATTTCTAAGAAGATCTCAAAAAAAAAAAAAATTAAAAATATGTACCTTGCCAAAGTTATACTAAAAATATAGACATGGGCACAAAAAGAACATCAAAATACCTCAGTATCCAGTAGCTTGATTCTGTGCTATGAGATCCTAAAAAGAGAACTATGGTAAATGAGAAAGAAAAAAATTAAACAATTCCATTGACTTTCCATCTCACTGTGATTAAAGGATAATCTAATAGGCTCTGGTAAATTGTATTCATAAGGTTGCTATAATAAATCTGGCTTTGATTCACATGGAGGTGAAGAATTCAAAAGAAAATTCACAACCAACTACCAGAAATCTGCTTCTGCTTTCTAATTTTCTTTTCAGGCATACATATAATCTATCCAGAAAACCAGATCCAATAGGGAAGGAAGGAGGAATTGCTTTATTGCTCACTTCTTTCAGTGAGCAGCAAAATTTTACATAACAGAAAACAAAGGAACAAAGGGATTATGGTAGCTTAGGGGCTCTCAGTCTTTAGAAGGCAACAGAATCGTCTGGAAAGATGCCCAGATCCCTAGAGTTTCTGATTCAGTAGGTCTAGAATGATCTCCAGGTGATTCCAATGCACACTCAAATTTGTGACCTATTCCATAGCTACCTATCATGGCAGCTTTTTTATTTATAAATATCATGCAGTTCTAAAGAACCTATAATAGTTCTCAGGTTGGGGGCAGTCTTGAGCAAACTATAGATAAGAAAAGAAAGGGTAGCTACTAGCCTCTCCCCAGTGGAAAGCCGGTGGCTTTCATGAGCACTGCCTCCTGGCTTTGGGGAATGGAGGCTAGATAAGAAATCAAGGTGAACTGAGAACTCATCCTCAGTCTGGTGAGACATAAAAGCAATCTATGGAGCTCAAAATGTAGATTAACCAACAATGTTAGAAATAGTTTATTCCAAACCTTTCATTTTAGAATGGAAAATTATAATAGGTGCAGGCACTGACAGAGAAGGAGTATGAACAACATTGAACATTGAGCTTTACTGTTATGAGGCACCCTCAGGCACATGAATAAATTCTCTACAGCATTCACAGTGAACAAGGAAGGATGACATAATATTCTATTAGTTAAATATGCTGGCCATTGGGACCTAGATCCTGTTGTAAAGAGCCTACCATATCTGGCATATAAAATCTTAAAATTTTCTGTCATAACAAGAAGGAACGATTCAGAAAGCAGCTTTCTAACTACCTCAGAAGACTAATGAATGGGCGTGATAGTTACATAAATAACCAGTACAATGGGTGCCACAAACAACAACCATGAGAGCCATTGCTCCCAACTAGCCTGGGAACCATTTATGAACACAACATAGAGCCATATTTCTGATCATAAAAGAGAGGCTTTGTGCCTACTGTAAGAGGAACAAGAAAAAGTTGTTTGTACAAAAGTTTAACTTTTCCTTGAACAAGAAAAAGTTGTTTGTACAAACAAAAAGTTGTTTATACATGGGCTGAGTTATGTACCTCCACTGGTAGCCCCCAAGTTCGTATGTGGAAGCTCCAACCCTAGTACCTTAGAATGTGACTGTATCTGGACTTAAGGTTTTTAAAGGGGTATTAAATTAAAATGAAGTATTTAGAGTGGGCCATAGTCCAATATGACTGGTGTCTTTATAAGAAGAGGAAATCTGGACACAGACATGTGCACGCACAGAGGAAAGACCATGTGAGGACTGAGGGGAAAGGTACCACGTGCAAGCCAAGGAGAGAAGACTCAGAAGAACCCTAACCCTGCTGACACCTTGATCTTGGGCTTCCAGCCTCCAAAACTGTGAGAAATAAATTCTCTTGTTCAAGCCACCCAGCCCGTGGTATTTTGTTATGGCAGACTACTACATGTATTAAGCAGATTTTGCCTAGTATCAAGAAACAAAACCTTTCCCTGTTTCACAGCAATACATTAAGGTATGTTTTACAAGTTGTGAGAAACTTCAGACACAGGAATGCACAATGCAGAGCAGCGCAAGGCACAAGGCAAGTCAGGTGAGGTTTACCGTAGAGGTCACCCTGGAGATTTCTGGAGGGAAACAAATCCAAAAGCATGCAAGGACATTCTTGTCTGTATTTATGACAATGAAATGTTTTAGACTTTATTCTGTTTTGACGTGAGTTCAAAATGTTTAGCACTCTGGTTTCAATAGGAACTAAAGTACATGTTTGAACACACACACACTTTGCATACGGTATTCAGCTATTAGTGAAGCAGAAATGATCTTGCCCCTAGGATATACACTCCAAATGAGGACTTCTGCGCAGTACTCATGTTCTGATTTTCAGATCCTATGATATATATCTCCTATGTCCTGATTTCATACCAATTTTTAAAGTACTGTCAAAAGAAAAGGATGATTACAAATCAGGAACTCCATGACTGGTTCACATGGTGCCTTGGTGAGCCTTTGCGTTGGGCTCATATAATGTCTTTGTGAAAACTAGAAAAGGGCCCACCTCCCCTGGCAGATGCAGCCCGGTCCCCGGGCAAACAGCCTGCTGAGCCGAGCCCAGACGGATCCAGCCCTCTCGTCCTCGATGAGGCCACAACCCGCACAGTCCCGTGGGGTCACCCCGGGTACACCTTCCCGACCACCTTGTCCAGCCCTCCTGCCCACCCTCCCCACCACCACAGTCACCTGCCAGGGGCCAGAAATTCCACAGGGACGGTGTCGCAGTGATTTAGCCATTCCTTTCTAGCATACACCGTAGTAACACAACCCTTAAAAGACAACGCGTGTACTTTTCCCAACAGGAGTGAAACTCTGAGCTCTATTAAACGACACAACTAAGAGGGAAAAATCGTTCTTTCAACTTCTAAAAATTATAGGCCAAAATAAAAAAAGTCCCTGCAAGTTCTTATATTCTGGCTGCTCTAAAGTTAATTAAAAAACAACAACCACAAATTTGTCTTAGACCTTGAAGTGCACTGGGCAGGAACACATTGGATGTTTTCTGAGGGCTCATTCAAAACACGATGTGAGAGTTCGAAGTGTGTTAATCGAGATGGATGATAATTATAAATGTCTGAGGCTAGAAGAAATAATTTAAAATGTCTCTTGTTTTCTCTTTCCTCTAAAGCAAAAAGCAGGACGGAGTTATTCAAAGTATTTTGGGGGAGTCTAATTTGAAAAAGCATTCTGTCCTTTTTAATCACTCTGCTCATTTGAGGCCCCAGACACTTTCACTTTTTAGTTCCTTCGATCACAATTTTCTACCAGTGTGATTGTTATTTTGTTATATAAAATATAAATATAATATAAAATTAACACATTAATATTATATTAATAATAAACATAATATAAAATAATATAAATATAATATAAATTGTTATATTGTTATATAAAAGAGCCTGTTCATGGCTCTTTTTTTTTTAATGGAGCGTCTGTTTTTGATATCCTTTCCCTATCTCATCATCATATGTTAGAGGTGCATGGGGGAGGCAGCCTGTCTTTTTGGTTCATTGTCCCAGGAGCAAGAGGATCAGCGTCTGAGGAGGTGGATCTGCGAAGCTTCACCTGTACCCAGATGCGTGATGCAGATCAGGTATAAGCCTCCCGACTTAGGGGCTAATGCCATAATTAGATGAGACACACCGGGGCATCCCAGGATGGAGGATAGCATTATTTTTCTTGCAAGAGAAATGTGAATGATTTCAGAGACAGACCATACTCGATTGCAATAAATGCCAACAAATTCTCAGCAGTACCCCCCTATCAAGTAGTGGCATGGATGTCTCTATCCTTTTCATCTGGGCTTGGCCATGACACTTGCTTTGACCAAGAATACGGTAGAAAATATGAAGCAAGAAGAGACTTGAATGCCCCTAGCACATTAGGGCTTATCCTCTCTGGAAACACTGAAACCATTATGTGAGGTCATCCTCACTTGATCTTAGCCAAAAGGCCGAGAAGCGATTGTTACATGAAGTCATCCTCTAGCCTCCTGGAGGACGAAGGCCACTTGGAGAGAGACGCTAGACCCCAGCTGCCCCACCACTATAACCGCATGACTGAGCCTCACTGACCCCAGAGGAAGAACCACCAGTGCTCACTACCTGCCACGTGCAGTTGCAGAGGGTTCACACGGATTATCTCATTCAGTCCTTGCAGCCATAAGAAACAAATTGTCATTTGGGGGTGGTTTGTTATACTGCAAAGCTACCTGACACGCTCCTCTTTGGGTTTCTTTGTGCCCCTTAAGGAGTAAGTATTCTTCTTTAAAGAAGACCTAGAAGGCTGACATGAATCAAGATAAATCGTAATTTCTGGAAAGTAAATTCTCATGCATTTACAAACAAAAGTTTATTGCTATGATTTTAAAATACAAACATAAGCAATATGTACCAAATAATTATCCTGATGATGTATTTCACCTACTTGATGATTGTGGCCTATATTATATATCTTGATTTTAATTTGGCATACATTTATGACATTCTATTCCTATTGTATGCAAAAGTTAATCTAAAAAGCACACATTTTAAAAAGCATGTTTTTTTACACATGCTTGAAGGCAGCCTTTGTTTTTCTTTTGAGGATTGTGGTCATAATTAGGGTGAGAAGGAAGTAAAAAGAAACTAAAAAAAGATTATCTCACATACAAGCAGAATCCACAAAGAGGCTCTGCGCAAGCTGTTTGCTAACTCACTGTGTTGAACAGGAGTCCTTGGGCAGTCAGTCCCAGGACAGTACAAAGATAGCTTAAACCTTGGCTGAGTTTCAGTCTGATAAGAGGTTTTGAGAACTCGAAGAGCCAGTTTTGAAATGGAGGTGGATAGTTTTAAGTGTATCACAAGTCTATCATTCAGATCACCAAAATAAATAGCAGGCAGGCTCTGTGGGACTTCCCAATCAACATGACTCTGTTGCCACATCCCACACCTTCCTCTGAATTGAAAGATTGCACCAGAGAAGTTTCTTGCCACCACACTAAAATGAACAAAATTTAGTGGGATGGAAGGAACGAGGTTTCTAAGGAATGTCAGAAATTAATTATGGCCTTACTAGCCCTTTGCAATATTAAAGCCAATCAGAATACTTCTTTTCAGGGTTGTAGGATCTACTGAGAAGTCCACATCTACTCAGGGTAGCATAGGAGAGTGGCTAAGTGTTCAGCCTGGGCAGACATATGGAGACACATTCAGATGCCACCTCAGCCACTACTGGGCCTTGCCTGGACTTCCTACTTATTTGGGAATTCTCAGCAGTTAGAGAGGGCAATTCCTAACAGATGAGTGCTTTTCAAGCCTCTGCTATATCACATATCTTTATAAGCCACCTTCTCTGTAACTGGTCTTCCCTATGTATAAAACCCTACCTCCTAGGATGGCTTATGTGAGGTAAGCCATGTGAAGCTCTTAGACCAGCACCTGGCAGAGAGTAAACACTCTATATGTGCTACCTGTTGTCATGTAGTCATGTTATTTTAATTCCCTCAAATAAGTAATATAGATTCAGTAACTATTTGTATAAATAGTGCATTTGCTAATGCACTACTAACAGTTTATTTCTCATCTCATCTATGATCATAAGTGAACACTAATTATGACCTGAAGAAACAGGAATAAGCGGTAGTTCTATGCTGATAAACAGAAGTTAATTTTAAAAAAAGAGAAAAACACTGCATAAAGCTAAAATCGACCATCTCAATTGTATTGAACGAGTAGAACCATAGGCCTTGAAGTGAATCCATGCCACTTAACAGTATCCTGATCACGAAACAAGCAAAGATCTGTCGCAATGAATTGAAAATGGAAGGAAATGGAATATTCAACAGACTGCTTGCAGAAATTTAAGAAAAGACACAGCATTCAATTTTTCAAGATTTGTGGTGATGAAGCATCTGCTGATCACACAGCAGCGAAGAGATTCATTGATGAGTCTGCCAAGGTCACTGCTGATGAAAGTCTGACACAAGAACAAGTCCATAATGCTGATGAAACATCACTGTCTTGGCATTGTTGTCCCAGAAAGACACTGACTGCAGCTGATGAGACAGCCCCTTCAGGAATTAAGGATGCCAAGGACAGAATAACTACGCAGGGATGAGCTAATGCAGCAGGCACGCGTAAGTGCAAACTTGCTGTGACAGGCAAAAGCTTGTATCCTCACCGTTTTCAAAGGAAAAAAGTCTTACTAGTCCATTATTATGCTAACAAAAAGGCATAAATCACTGGGGACTTCTTTTCTGATTGGTTTCACAAACACTTTGTGCCAGTGGCTCATGCTCACTGCAAGGAAGCTAGACCGAATCACAACTGCAAGATATTGTTATTCCTTGACATCTGTTCTGCTCATCCTCCAGCTGAAATTCTTATCAAAAATAATGTTTATGCCATGTACGTTCCCCCTAACATGACTTCATTAATTCATCCATGTGTGCAGGGCAGCCTTAGATCAATCAGGAGTAAATATAAAAATACTTTCTTGAACATGCTAGCAGCAGTGAACAGAAGCATGGGTGTGGAAGGTTTCCGAAAGGAGTTCAGCATGAAGGATGCCATATATGCCATTGCTAATGCTTGGAACACAGTGACGAAAGACACAGTTGTGCATAGCCTGGCACAACCTCCGGCCTGCAACTATGTTCAGTGATGATGATAAACAGGGTGGTTACTTTGAAGGATTCCGTATGT